TGACAATTCCTTCTGTCAATATTATTGATTCTGCATATCATACAGTTGTGATTTTCTAGATTTCATTCATTGTTTGTGTATGAGCGTGTCAGCATCTGCAACGTGGGGAGTGTTGAGATCTGGCAGAAGTCAGCGAGCAGTGGCCAATATGTCAATGTTTCACAGTCAGTGATAAGTGGACTATGGAACAGGTACCAAGAAACCCAAAATGTTGACGATTGACTCAGATCAGGGCATCCCAGGTCAACGACAAGAGTACACAATCGATTGATCTGAAACCAGGCTCCAAGAAATCAAGCTTAAATGGCGAATCAATTGCTGCAAACTTTCATCAGGCGACTGGAGTTTGAGTTACGGGCTTAATGATTTAAAGTCATCTACATGCAACTCATATCCATGCTCGATAGCCATGTGTTACAACACCCCTTACAAACTGTCATGTTGCCAACAGACATCAATGGTGTACATACCATCGAAACAGGTGAGGTGAAATGGGGTTTAATGTCGCGTCCAAGATTATTGCACTTATATAGCGACGTGCATGCACGTGCATGTGTGTGTGTGTGGCTGCCTGTACTAGTCCGGACTGATGCTGATTTATAGTGCTAGCTCACTGAGATACCATGCCGCAGTTTAACATGAATACCCCACTCAGACACAGTATACGGACTCCGAGCCGACCAGTCCTTGTTTTAGCCCCTTAATGCTGAGCGCCAGACAGGGTAACAACAAGTACCATCTTTTAACGTCTTTTGGTATGACGTGGTCTGGGATCGAATCGCGGACCTTCCGCTCTTCGGGCGGACACTCTACCACTAGATCTCCGTCTCCATCGAAACAGGGGTAATCGTCGCTGGTCACGTGTATTTTCAGATGAGTCCCAAATTACTTTGCACTTCTTTTATCGTCGTGTTCGTGTCAGGTGACGCTGAAATGAGCATCCAGCCAGTGTCAACCTGAGACCTCAAGACACATTTAGCATTGGATCTGTTATGGTGTGGGGTGGCATCACTACGACTGAGCGATTCCCACTCCATATTGTGCAAGTTAGGGTCACAGGATATTACTATCGGGACCACATACAGATGCACTTTCTTGTCCCATTTGAGAGGCATGTGGGTCGACTTTATGTCATTCAGGACGACAACGCCCATGTTCACCTTGCACAAATCGTCAATGCTCACCTCAAGCAACACAACATCCACAGAAGGCCAAGAACAGCAGTGTGGCCAGACCCTTCCCTCATCCAACACATCTGGGTCGTGACAGGCTCCCTCAAATTCCCCTTCGGGAGGCAATGAGGGAATGAATGTTCGACACATTGCGGCCATATTATGCCCTACTGATATGAAAAGGTCAGCCTTGAAATTTCCCATCTCACCTCTGTCGTCCTTCAAGATAATTGGCGGTCAACATCTACTGACCTACTTCACTTCGTTGTAATGTGTTTCCAGTTTGTTCTTTATTATTCATTATCATGTAACTGTTACTGGAAATTTATATCTCTTACAATTTTCGGAAAATTTGAAGTTATTTCCGAGTATCCCTTACTATTTTTGAAGAGTACACAATATGATTCAACTGATCATGTTTTTGGTGGAAAACCTTTGCATTCTGTACCAGGAAGTGAAGATTGAGGACTGGGTCTTGTTCTTGATAGTTTTAAAAAGTCACTTGTGTAGGTGTGCTTTGAATCATTTAAATAACATACTGTAAGTTATTAAGTTAGTCATGCTGATCCTAGCATGAATCCTTGTGAAGACTGTGCATATTCTTTACTCCCATTAGTATGTGACACATTTATGACTTGACAAACTGTCAAGTCAGGTCCATCCAGGAAACAACATGTGTTACATAACAAATCTGCCAATGAACAATTAAATTAGCACTAGACGTTAGGTCACGATACTTACATCACGATTCGATATGTATCTCTATACGCTACGATACACATAGTCGCAAGAGAAGACAAGAGATAAATGAATTAAACTTAGTTTATTTAAATGAAAAATTAAATGAATGTTCATGAGTCATAAAGTATATACTGTAATGAGTATTTTAACTAAATGAATCATCTGCCATTTTCGGTAGTTAGAATACGCCTTCAGCAACCCATGCTTGCCGTAAAAGGTGACTATGCTTGTCGTAAGAGGCGACTAACGTGATCGGGTGGTCAGGCTCGCTGACTTGGTTTGATGATAGTCATCGATCCCAATGGCGTGGATCGATGCTCATGATGTCAATCACTGAATTGTCTGGTCCAGAACTGATTATTTACAGACCGCCGTCATATAGCTGGAATATTCCTGAGTGCGGAGTTAAACAACAAACAAACAAACGGTAGTTAGGGCCAATGAACATGCATTTGTCAGAGTTTCAAGGACGTGAGTCCTGGTATTAGCATACAGGCCAGCAACAACAGTGTTCGCAAAATTTTGTCATTTTTGTGTTGACATTGCCTTCAATTTGTTTTTGAAAGCCTCTACTAAACGTTGACCAACTGGAGCTGGGTGTGACTGATCATTCATGGTGTCATTCATGGTGTTTGGGATTCAGTAAAGTTAGTTACCGGTTACAGGCTTTGTCTTTTGCCCTTAACATGTGGCACCACTAATGTCTATGTTTGGGTGATGGCGGCATATGTGTGTTGTCATGTTTGTCATGCTGCCCCTGTATTTTAACCATGCGTGACACATGCAACAGCACGTTTCATCTTTGAACACGTGTTTGATTCCATCTTCAAATGTTACTGGGAACCCGAAATATTCCCAAACTACTGATTTATGAGTCCCAGGTGGTTTCTCTAGCAAAGGACAAGCATCTGCTTTTTCTGACATGTTTGAGTTAGAGACCGCTCAGCCAATCAGAAAGCTTGAACTGCTACTGATATACGAAACTAGCATAGCTGCTGTATTTTCAGAGACGTACATATGTGTAGCGAAACACATTTAAAACATATCTGTGATAAAAGTTTATTCAAGGAAACGTATCGTGAAAATCGAGATACAGCACCTCACAAATCGTGCACCTTATCGTATAGAGTGAAACGCGATGCATCGGTGTCCCGGGATATAGTTTCAGCCTTACAAGACAAAGTATTTCTCATTAAGTACCATGTCAAGTCCTGATGCTGTTTGTTTACACATGTTGATCAAGCTGTTATGACAGCCGCCAACCACATATGATGGTGTCTTTGTTCTTGGCAACCTTGTCAAATAATCTATAATTATTGGCAAAACACTGACCATCCACAGAGTGAAATTGTCCAATACAGTTAGGTTCAAAGGATTTGTGTTACGACACTTGGAAGCATCATTGTTGCATCTTACCTACCTTATGTTAATATGCTTTAGTCAGTATTTCCTGCTTTTGTGGAAGTCGGATCACCATGACAAGGAGAATGTAAACACTATCATTCTTTTTAACCACTGGGGCGGTCGGGTAGCCTAGTGGTTAAAGCGTTCGCTCGTCACGCCGAAGACCCGGGTTCGATTCCCGACATGGGTACAATGTGTGAAGCTCATGTCTGGTGTCCCCCGCCGTGATATTGCTGGAATATTGCCAAAAGCGGCGTAAAACCATACTCACTCACTCACTGTCTCAACTACTACGTGTACATACCCGTGAACATGGTGAAGATCTGGGTCAGAATTGTCTTCAGCAACCCATGCTTGTCGTAAGAGGCGACTAAGGGGATCGGGTGGTCAGGCTCGCTGACTTGGTTCATGCATGTCATCGTATCCCAATTGCATGGATCGGTGCTCATGATGTTAATCACTGGATTGTCTGGTCCAGACTTGATAATTTACAGACCGCCGTCATATAGCTGGAATATTGCTGAGTGCGGCGTTGAACAACAAAGAAACTACATGCACTAGGGATGTCATCATGCAACTCTCTCATAATACTTTACGATACTTTGTTGGCGATATGTAATTCCCATGAATTTTTAATTTTCATAGGCCATAAACACTATCAAAGAAGCTTGGAACTTCCTGAATGTCTGGTCTTATGTTTGAAAATTAAAGTCTCATTTCAAGCACTATTATTCAAATTTCTGAGTGTCAACAACAGTTAGAAAAAGACCACAACAGAATTTAAATCTTAATACTATCATGACTATATATACATTGTAGATATTGCATAAATGAATAATGATAAAATTGTTTATTAAAATGTAGGTAGGATCCATTTTGCCAACAAAGTAATTCCATTGAACTTTTAAATGCACCGACAAATTGGGGAATGGTGACATCCCTACTAACACTAACGACTATCCTGGCGTTTACCTCATTCTGTATCGTGGTATTCCAAGTCTACATTCTTAGTGTTGTCATTTGTCGGTAATCAGATATATTGGGTTTTTTAAATTTCAAGAGAGGGCTACTTACATTCATGCATTCCTGTTAGCCTTGGGATTGGCTTTTGCAGTATTTGGTGGCACATTAATGTCATGATCTACAGTAAGTGATGACCAACTTGTCATACAAGTATTATGTCACTGAGACTTCGGTGAAAGAACTTCCGTCCTTTGTTTATGACATAGATGATATTGAACACATGAACATATTTTGAGTGAGAGAGTGAGTATGTTTTTACGACTCTTTTAGCAATATTTCAGCAATATCACGGCTGGACTGCCAGAGCTTACCCGCATTGTTGACAGGTGATTGAAGCTCACTGATGATGTTTATCGCCAGTAAAATGGATATTTCTAGAAAAGCTCACTCTGCAGTTTTTGTCATACTGAAAGTAATATTCCTTATCGGCAGAATGGCATGTTTTCACTTTATAAGTATTAGCACACCTGTAGCTATCTTCATTAATTAATCATCACAATATTTTGTGATTTTATTTCAAGTGGCGAGGACAATAGTAGATTCCATAGTATTAGACTTTGTGTCCGAAATAACTGCCTGCCCGCCGGCCCGCGGCTGGTAACTTTTCTGTCGGGCTGCATAAAAATTCCTCAACCTGTCTGGCGGATAACATAAGTATACTAAGACTACTTACGTATTTAGTTTTATTATAATTCGTCATATATTCTCAAGTAATTGATTGCATTATTTCTACTGAAACAAGACACGATTTGTCAAATTTTATGCGACTTTTCAATATTTATAATGTCTGAATGCGGGCAGGTAACTTTGAAGATGGGCACATGCCCTTCTGACTTGTTGGGTTTTAAAATTATTTCAAACACTGATCAGACACAGACTGGTACTGTGAGATATGGTTAACTTACTAGTTTCCCTCTTTGAATTGACTGTGTGAAACCCTAGGCATGTCTGTACTTCTAGCATCTATTTCATTACTGTAAAGTATGTTTATAAGGAACATGCTTATAATGAACTGACGGATATAACAAACTGTTATTTTCGTTGTCCAGGCCATTTGCTGAATAAACTGCTTAAAACGAACTTCGTTTATAGCAACTAAATTCGCAGTCACTTTGAATTTGTTATTACCGTAGTATTCTGTATGTCTAAGACAGGCCAGTCTCCCTGCTTTTGCTGATGGGGTAATCAGTACACAGTCCACTGTGTGATTGTCACACCGCATGCTGCCAGCAACCACAGAATCAGATCAATTATCCAGATTGAAAACAACTGTTACTTAATTACCTTATTAAGTCAGGACAATGCTCCATTGAAATAATGAAATCTCTGCTCATTTAGGCTGCTTGTACCAGGCCATTGTTTGATGGGATTAGTAGCTGTAGAAGTTAATTAAGCTAATCCTCACATTCCCCTCAGTGATGGAGCGGTTTGGGTTTAGTCCCCTGTGGCATGTTGGGACCAGTGGCAACATGCAACAAGAGTCTGCTCATATTAAGTGTTCGGTGGACGTGAAGTCATTCTTGGTTAGATTGTCCCCCTGTTGACTTGCTTGTACTCCGTGGAAGTGTTGTTCGCGTGCTACTGGACAAGGGATACTCCGTGACTGTGTTGGACCGTGTACCTCAGTGTGTCATTTCTTTCTGCAGTGCTCATCACTCCTGTATGCTACAGTGAGGTCTGTGGCAGTGGCAGCTGGGACCTCCTCTCCTCACCCTCACATCACCTCCTGCACCACCTGTAACGACCTTCCAGGTAAGAAACTGTTGAGTCATGTTGTATTCACAACATAAGAACCAGGCATTGGTTTCTGTCACCCATACATGCATTCTCCAAGAGAACAATTAGTCTGATGACCCAACCAATGATAGTTTAAGGTGCCAACCCTAATATGGTATTGTCAAGCTCTTTGTTTGAGAGACCCTTGAAGATCTGGGTAGAGGATAGGTCTTCAGTAACCCATGCTTGCCGTAAAAGGCGACTGTGCTTGTCGTAAGAGGCGATTAACAAGTCCAGTCTTGCTTGACAACGGTATGAGGATCTATATCGAAACCTTTACAGTATTAAAGAAGTTGTTATCCATAAATTGTGTCTACTTTATGATTAACGAGATCGAGAGGTCAGGCTCGCTGACATGGTTGATGCATGTCATCATATCCCAGTGCTCATGATGTCAATCACTGGATTGTCTGGTCCAGACTCGTTTATTCACAGACCGCCGTCATATGGCTGGAATATTGCTGAGTGCGGCGTTAAACAACAATCAAATCAGAGATGTTGGGTTTTTTTAATTTCAAGAGAGGGCTACTTACATTAAATTCATGCATTCCTTTTAGGCTTGGGTTTGGTTTTTGCAGTATTTGGTGACACATTAATGTCAAGTGTGGCATTAAACAACAAACAAACACTGTTTGGGTGAAAACAAAGAGCACACATTCAAATATATAATAAACACTCCATCTCATAAGGGGTATAAAGACACACAATCAAAAGATTTGATCAAACCTAATGTATTCATTTTGATGTTTAATTCTTACATCATATTGATAACAGTCACAACAACTAGGGCGGTCGGGTAGCCTAGTGGTTAAAGCGTTCGCTCGTCACGTCGAAGACCTGGGTTCGATTCCCGACATGGGTACAATGTGTGAAGCCCATTTCTGGTGTCCAGAAGCCCATGATATTGCTGGAATAGTGCTAAAAGTGGCGTAAAACCATACTCACTCACACTCATAACAACTAAAGGGCTATTAAGAATAGGCACAGTTAAAACTGAATTTCAAGTTTAGATAAATGCACACAATTTGTCAATAATCATGTCAAGCGTAAAATAAGTGGGAATATATTAGACAGTCCGAACAAGAGCCTGTAACAGTTGCTGGTCTGCCTGAAATAGTACTGGCAGTGATAATACCAACTGCATTAATCAACAGTTTCCTGAAGAGAATTATTGTAGTTCATCAGTAGTTCATTCAAAAATATTTTAAGCCAATGCCAAGATATTTCAGGAAATGTTCAAGAAATATTTCAAGCTTACTTTGACATTGATAATGCTTATCAAATCTTTGCCAGGGTTTGACATTGTTATCATTGTTGGATGTAAAATATGTAATGCAGACAGGGGCTCATCAGTCCTAACAAGCAGGTAGTACACAATTGATCGCATGAGCCTCGTGGTGGCTTTCTGTGTAACCATGGAAACAAAACACTTTTTACCCGGTGGAAGATTCCAATATTTTGTCACATGAGTATTCTGCATCGTTTAATCATGGGTGGTATTGATTGAACCAGGACAGTTGGACAGTAATAAGAGTCGTAAACACAACTTGCTGGCATTGCATAACAATGTTTATCTCCATTACTGCTCCATGTCCTGTTGGGTGGGTGGGACTGTTGTTCCTGCTGCCTTGTCTTCCTGTTTTGTATATTGGGCTGGTGATGGGATGTTTTTACATTAACAGCGGAGATCGTTTTAGTACAGGTTTGAATGAGAGAATGCCAATGGAAATATTGATGTATGTTTGGGGCTGTTGTATTGCTCTTCCCAATCAGTAGTTAAAAAAATAGTCTTTGTTCTCAGGCACCGCCCGCATCATCGTAAAAATTTCATTTGTATTTCTGACAATTTAAAAAAAATATTAAAAAAATGTCCTTAAATATTCCAGTATTTTACTCACCAAGGAATACATTTGTGTAGGGAGGCCCTTTCCCATGTTGATTGTACACAATTGTTTATTGATTACACAACTGTTTATTGGTTACATACTAGTTTGAACAGCAACAAAAAAGACACCGCCTGCCCGCACTATATTTTCAAAAAACATTGCCTGAGAACCAATGCTTTTTTTTTAAGCCTTATATTGAGTTCTCATGAAGTAACCAAGGAGCTTTGTTATTGTTTTGTTATATTTTGAGTTTAACATGTTAAAGTTGAAGTCATCATCTTTTATTTCCCAGTAAATATTTAGTATTTGTTCATCTACAGTCTTCCGTGTTAGAAATTGGCACTAGTCCCACAGTCCTTGCAAATGCCCAGTAGTTAATGTATCATAAGGACTAGTAGAAATTTGCTATTTATAAGGGTTTTGCTATATGTTATCATTATAAGGACTAGTGGACAAAAACTGGTAGTATCTATCGCTGGTCTTTCTTCCAACTTGTTCAAAATGACGATGATAAGCGTTTCTCAATCTGACTGAAGGTTGACTGAGACATGTCTACAAGAGTTATCTCCCTTACACTGTCTGCCATCTCCAGAGTGTGACATGCATTGCAGGGGACACACATTACACAATACAGTGCTGTGATGAGAGCATTGGAACAGCATCAGACATGTCACAATGTAGGAGACACCAACAGCACTGATCAGGTGCTTTTCTAAGTGATCAGTTCGTTTGAGATTAATTTTATCTGACACAAAATGTTGAAAGCTTATATTTTTAAGCAATGGCCTAATTTGTTAAATTTGAATAAACTTTGATCTAGTATGTCATCTTATACTACTTAACAGACCCACAAATCTTGGAAACAACAACTATTGTAAAAACTGCCATCTTTAAACCTGAAGGATTACACACAGCATATTCTGTCCAGGAATGGGCTTTTACATAGAAAATGTCTTTGTTTTTTTATGCCAAATAATAAATTCAAATCTGACAATACCACTAAAAAGATTGCAACAGATTTTTTCTTTTATTTACATGTTTGTGTCATGTACAGTGTAGGGACTGTGAAGATATTATTATTCAAATGCGGGGATAAGTATTTCACATGTAAACATGAACTGACTGCAGGGAAATACATGGGGCCTCTCTCTGTGACGGCAGCAGAGAGGGGAGCTAGCTCGTACTGACAACAGTCGAACACGAATCAGATAATGAACTGACTGCTGGGAAATACATGGGGCCTCTCTCAGTGTGTCTGCAGCAGAGAGGGGAGCTAGCTCGTACTGAAAACAGTCGAACACGAATCAGATAATGAACTGACTGCTGGGAAATACATGGGGCCTCTTTCTGTGTGTCTGCAGCAGAGAGGGGAGCTAGCTCGTACTGACAACAGTCGAACACGAATCAGATAACGAGGGCAATAATTATACAACATACACGATGCCTTCACATCATTCCATGACACCTAGGTAACCATGACAACAACTGTCTTTGCACAGTATCCCTGGGTTTTTAATATGTGAGACTGAGACATGATGGAACTAACATATTCCATATTACCGTATTCGACGTAATAAGCGCCCCGCTCTAATAAGCGCCCACGCCGACATTTTGGCTGGTGAACAATCCTGATTAGCACCCCTTCCAATTGATCAATGTACACAAGACTTATTTATTCGCGTATAATACGCACTCGTGTGTTATATGCACCCTTAATTATTGGCAATTAAATTCTGGAAAAAAACAGTATCTATCTGTCGTACATAAACATTTCAGGTTGTCAGCATAAACCATGAAATTTATCTTTCAACTCTTATGAGAGACCCTTATTTCTAATTTTGAGAGCGCCCTGGGCGCTTATTATGTCGAATACAGTAACAGTGTTTCTGATTGACTCCTCTAGACTGATTTTTTAAAATAATGGTGTAGTCCTAAAAAAGACACATGGGTCTGGAATAACAATCCATTAATTCAACATGTGTTTGATTACTTGTGGCGGAGATGCATTACATTTCCGACCGAGAATAAAGCAAATATTTACCAATCAAAGGGCTCGTTAGGTACTGGTAATATATTAGACTTGGACACATTTCAATTGTTGTGGCAGTCGTTAGAGAGTCTGGAATCTGGCATTTCAGCTGACGGAGAATGGCTGTTTACGACTTGATTTTATTTATTCATCAGTATCATTGGAATATGATTAAAATACTCCAATCAAAAACAAATTCATCTGTCTGAGTAGGGTAATCAGTCATTGATAATGGTGTTTACTGGAAGACAGATACACTGGCAGATGAAGTTTTGCAAAGTTGTAAGGTGAAGTAATACACAGAAACTGATACATGATACTTACCTGATGTATCGCTATACCTGATGATACAAAACACTTAATTTTTAAACTTATCCTATCTCACTCTAGAAGAAGGATGAGATGCATAGAGATAGGATAAGTATAATAAATATAAAATCAGATCGGGTAGTGAGGCTCGCTGACTTGGTTGATACATGTCATCGGTCCCAATTGCAAGGATCGATGCTCATGATATTAATCACTGGATTGTCTGGTCCAGACTCGATTATTTACAGACCGCCGTCATATAGCTGGAATATTGCTGAGTGGGGCGTTAAACGACAAACTAACCAACCAACATTTGTTTATTAGACTTGCCACCCCTACCTTTATTTGTTTTTGTGTTTTGTGTCGCCATCATGTTAAGTTTACTGCTGAGAAAAATGTGTCATAGTTCCTGCATGCGTGGAACCCAACTAAACTCTGTGGTAACACTCAACAGAGAAGGAGTTACATGAAATGTACAATCAGTAGATATGAATTATCGATATTCCGTCAATTGAGATTTCGATATCCACAAAAAAAAAGTATTCATACCTTTCAGTCTTTTTCTTCTCAAAAACAAACAGCAATTATGTTTGAAAGAACGTTCGGGGGCACGGGTGGCCCAGTTGTCTAAGGCGCCGCGATTCGCTGTGCAGAGTTGCCTCCCTTGGACACGCCAGAAACCTATGATTGTGGGTTCGAATCCCGGTTCGCCCCGATTATGTTTCTAGGTTTGTC